ATATATATATATATATATATATATATATATATAAAAACAAACTAGGAATATCCACTAACATGTACATTACTATTTTTTTATATTTATTTATATATATATATATACACACACACACACTACCAGTCAAACGTTTTTGAACAGTAAGATGTTTTTTAAAGAAGTCTCTCCTGCTCACCAAGCCTGCATTTATTTAATCAAAAATACAGTAAAATTGTGAAATATTATTCTAATTTCAAACAGCTGTTTTCTATGTGAATATCTGTTAAACTGTACTTTATTTCTGTGATCAAAGCTGAATTTTTATTTGAAATAAAAAGCTTTTGTAACATTATACAAAATAAATTATAGAAATATTTTTATTCATCAAGGACGCATTAAATTGATCAAAAGTGCCAGTAAAGACATTTATAATGTTACAGTAGATTTCTATTTCAAATAAATGCTGTTCTTCTCAACTTTCTATTCATCTGTGAATCCTGAAAAATACAATGCATCACGGTCTCCACAAAAATATTGTGCAGCACAACTGTGTTCAACATTGATAATAATCAGAAATGTTTCTCGAGCAGCAGATCAGCATATTATACTGATTTCTGAAGATCATGTGACACTGAAGACTGCAGTAATGATGCTGAAAATACAGCTGCGCATCACAGAAATACATTAGTTTAACAGAGATTCACATAGAAAACAGCTGTTTTAAATTGTTATAATATTTAAAAATAAATGCAGCCTTGGTGTGCAGAAGAGCCTCTTTATTGATTGGAAGTGCTCTTGTCTGTGGCTCAGAATGGGGTTCTGGAGGCTCGTGTTCAGGAGCTGGAGCAGATGCTGGCGCGTGAGCGACAGATGAACCAGCAGCGGCTCTCGCAGAAGGAGCAGGAGATGGCAGACATGCGGCAGCAGATGCAGGAGCAGCTGGAGGAGCACCAGAACCTGCTGGACGTCAAGCTCATGCTGGACATGGAGATCAACGCCTACCGCAAGATGCTGGAGGGAGAGGAGAAGAGGTGAGCCGAACTCTGCAGCGTTTCTTACACTCCAAACTATGCTTGTTTTGTGTTTGTTTGATCTTTTTATTCATTTATTTATTTCACAAAAAAGGGACAGTGTACACTAAAACCTTCATCCGTCCCTCGGGTCATTTTGACCCGAAAAAGATTTTCAAAAAGATTCTAAATAACGTGTGTTGATCGTACGGTCCAAGATTTCTTTACTTCGTTCACACTTGCACCAGGAATACACCAAAAAAATTTAGTGGATTCGAGGAGTTTAAATTAATGCATTTTGACCCGCATAGGAATGAATGGAATTTACAAGAACACTGCATTTTTTCATTATATATATATATATATATATATATATATATATATATATATATGTATATATATATACACACA